AATGAATGTATGTGTGTATACACACACATGCGTGTGTGTGTGTGTGTCTGCAAATGCAAAGAGAAATAGACATTGGAATATGAAATAGGAATAGAAAAATAGAAATAGAAAAATAGAAATTGAAACATAGAAATTCAAATTCAAATATAGAAATCACAATTAAAATACAAAATAAATAGCAATAGCAATAGAAACAACAGAAATAGAAATAAATAGAAATTGAAATAGAAATTGAAATAAATAGTAGAAATAGAAGTAGAAATACAACGTCGCTGCAGGGAAAACATAATGCAGGTAGTCCTTGACTTACGACAGTTCATTTAGCGACCATTCAAAGTTACGACGGTGCCGAAACACGGCAGCGTTTTTTCAGCCTCACGGCCATCGCAGCCTGCCTGCGGTTACAGGATCCAAATTCAGACGCTCGGCCATCGGTTCCTATTTAGGACAGTTTCCGGGATCCCCTTTTCGACCTTGCAACCAGCAGCGTCAAGGCGGGGAGGGGGGAGTCCCGATTCATGGAAACGACCATGTTCCGGATTCAACAAAGGCCACACTTCACTTAACAACCAGGGCAGGAAAAGTCGTACAATGGGGCAAAAGGGCCCTTGACCAGTGTCTCACTTAGCCGTGTAAATTTTGGGCTCCCTTGCGGCCATAACACGAGGACTGCTGATAGTGGAGAATCCCAAGGCGGCTTCCTCTGCCTTTACTGGTGGGACTTCCGCCTGCTTTTCCTCTTTCCCAGTGAACGGAGGCTGGGCCTCCTGGGGCGAGTGGTCTGACTGTGATGCCGAGTGCCGGGGCGGCGTCAGGAGTCGCACCCGGACCTGCGCTGACCCCCCACCCAAGAACGGAGGAGAGCTGTGCCCCGGAGATGCCGTCCAGATGGAGACATGCAACCAACAGCCCTGCAGAGATGCTCGGGGTAAGCGGAGGAGCGGGAGGTGGCTGTCTGGTGCTGAGTGGGATGAGGCAGAGATGGGGCAGAGGAGAAACAGAGAGAAGGGGTGTAAATCAGAATCCAGGACCACCTTCCAAGGAAAAAGCACTCTGCGCACGCCCAGAGAACCCTGCTGCCAATCTCCCGCTGTTTTCGAACCACAAACCTCACTGCTGAAGACTCGGGACTGCCACTCTCTCTCTCTCTCTCTTATATTATCAACTATATAACATATATAATAGTGTGTGTTTCTCTCTCTCTGTGTGTGTGTATACATATATGAGTTCCAGGTGTATTTCTAGAAGAAGAGACAAACATTGCGATCTCCAGAGCTTAAAGTATATTACCCACTTAGCTTTCATTAGCCTCTGCTAACATTGTCAGAGTGCAAAAACTACCATTGATGAGATATCTGCCTTTATACATCATTAATCAAGTTTATCTATCTATCTATTTGTCTGTCTGTCTGTCTGTCTATCTGTCTGTCTATCTTTCAATATAGAGATGTATATAAGATGTCTAATATATCTATTTAGATTTACAACCCCCCGGTATGCCCAAATATGGGAGGAAGATCACTACTTATTTATTTATTTATTTATAGGGCTTCATAGGGCTTTCAGCCCTCTCTAAGCGGTTTTTAGCAAATTTTTTTAGCAAATTGAGTCAGCAACCTGCCCCCACAGTCCAGGTCCTCATTTCACCCACCTCGGAAGGATGGAAGGCTGAGTCGACCTTAAGCCGGTGAGATTTGAACCACTGAACTGCGGATCACAGTCAGCTAAAGTGACCTGCAGTACTGCACCCTAACCACTGCGCCACCTCGGCTCTTCCATTCTCTGTCCTTCGGCTCGTCACAAGAGACCATCCAGGCAGAAACCCGATATTTTTACTGTTGCACAAATACAACAGATGTCTAATATAATATATATAATATAATATATTATTATTTATTGATTATTATTTATTAAATCAATTAATTGGAGGCCTCCTAATCATTAGCAAAAGACCTTCCGGGGGGGTCTCATCCCTGATGCCTCCTTCCCTTCCTGTCCTCTCAGGGGTGTCCACCCAGCACAGAACGGGCCAAAAAGGTCAAGATTTGGCGCACTCCAAGCTTTGCCTCCTGTTTGAACAGGGGGTTGGACTAGATGACCTCCAAGGTCCCGTCCATCTCTGTCATTCGATGATTCTTTAAGGGTCTCCTGCTCGAGCAGGGGGTTGGATTAGATGACCTCCGAGGTCTCTTCCGCCTCTGCCCTGTTAGCTCTGCTCTTTTTCAGGCCTCGTCTTTCTCCACAGACTGCGGTCCAGATATGGTCTTCGTGCAAGCTGGGCATTGTGCCCGCGGCCTGGTGGACCCTTGCCCGCAGACTTGCCGCCAGTTGAGTGTCCAGAAGTCATGCCAGAGCAGCTGCGTGGAGGGTGAGCTCAAGGTCCTTGGCGTGGTGTGTGTGTGTGTGTGTGTATCTTTGCACCGCTTCTAGATAACCTCCCTCTGTTGCCTTGGGTCTCTGCAGGGTGCCGGTGTCCCCCCGGGCTCTTCCTGCAGGAGGGGGGCTGTGTGAACATCAGCCAGTGCCACTGCTTCTTCGATCACAACCACCGTCGGCCGGGGGAGATCTTCCTGCGGGACAACTGCAGTCAGTGGTGAGCGTGGTCAGATCTCGTCCCTTTCTCTGCAGACCTGCTAGGTCTTAGAGAGCAGCGAAACGGTGTGTTTAAAAGAAGGGAGGCTTGTTGGAGGCTATTTGGAAGTGGGTGTGTTTCCCAAATGGGGAGGGCTGGGAAGATCCCTCCCAGGATAAAGGATAACGCCCGAGTAAGGCACCACCTGGAGTACCGCATCCAGTTTTGCTCGCCGTATTACAAAAACGGAGGTTGAGACTTTGGAAAAAGCGGAGAGAAGAGCAACGAAAGAGAGTAAGGAAATCCTACATCGTTTCTGACAGATGGCTGTCAGAATGTTGCGGAGTGAGAGGTGTGTGTTGAGTGAGCGTCGCCCCGTTTTGTGACTTTCCTTCCCGCCTTTGTTCCGGGAATCCCTGCAGTTGTTAAATGAGTAATTCGGTTGTTAAGTGAGTCTGCTTTCCCCCTTGTCAAAAGGCGGCAAAAGGGGAATCGTATGACCCTGGGACACTGCAACCATCATAAATGGGAGTCAGTTGTCAAACATCCGAACGTAAACCATGTCACCACGGGGATGCTGGAACGGCCGTTATTGTGGCATACGGTCCTAAGTCCCTTTTTAAAGTGTCGTAACTTTGAATGGCCATTAAGTGAACTGTTGTAAGTTGAGGTCTAACTGTATAAAGGGATAAACATTCTTTGCGCATCACCCCTGAATCGTTTCTCCGGTGCCCCGAATCAGAAGCGAGCATCAGCCAAGGGGGGGGGGGGGAATGCTTAACCTCGGGTTCGTCCTCACGCAGCGTTTGTCTGGACGGCACGGTGACCTGTGACACGGTGTCCTGTCCCGTGAAGTGCGGCTGGTCGGCTTGGTCTCCGTGGACCCCCTGCAGCCGGAGTTGCGGAGTTGGGATGCAGCAAAGGTTCCGGTAAGAAAGGAAGCATCCTGAGCAGCAGCTCTTCCCCCGGGAGTCCTTAGAGGCTATGATAGCATTTTGTGGGGGGGTTGTTCGAGATCCGGTGGAATCGGAGTAGAATTTGGTGTTTGGTGTCTGTCTGTCTGTCTGTCTGTCTGTCTATCTATCTATCCGTATCAATTTCTCTCTCTCTCTCTTCCTCTATTTCTCTCTATATATTTCTCTCCCTCCCTCCCTCTCTCATTTATCTCTCTCTCTCTCTCTATCTATCTATCTATCTATCTATCTATCTATCTATCTATCTATCTATCTATCTATCATCTATC